CCATCAGGGCCCTGCGATTTATTTATTTTGAGTTTAACTAGACTTAGTACCACATCAGCCTCAGTTATATATACATATACTCAAAGTTAAGGGATGACATTATATGTTTCTGCCATGACCCTGGTGGCAATTAAAAAAAAAAAACTCAAGGAGTAAGAAGAGCTCACATCCTGATTGGACATCTCCCAGTACGGCCGCTCCCCATAGGACATCACTTCCCACATGACGATGCCATAGCTCCATGCATCACTGGCAGATGAGAACTTCCTGTAGGCAATGGCCTCAGGAGATGTCCATCGGATGGGTATTTTTCCACCCTGAAAAAAAAATCGCAGAACCTTTAACAGACTGTAGATACTCCCAGTTATTTGAAACCAGAGTTATTTTAGAATTCTGTACAAATACACAATAGAACACATTAATTTTCAACAGTTCCTTATCTAGTGACACAGTAGTTCAGGGCTTAGGGCACAGCCTGGTCATGATGCCAGCCAAACACACACAGACACACACACACACACACACACACAGTCGTGTAATCATCTTTTTGGGGACCGCTCCTTCATTTCTATGGGAAAAGTGCTAATGCTAACTATGACAACCATAACCCCTACCTAACCATAACCATAAGTAACCAAACAAAATACAAGAGTTTTTGCAATTTTATTTTTTTCATTGCAGTCATGGATTTTTATAAAACTGGTCCCCATAACGTAAAAAAAAAAAAAACAGGTATTCATCACGTTGTGGGGACATTTGGTCCCCACAAGGTAAGATATACCTGGACCACACACACACACAGGTTTGTAATTATATCTTTGTGGGGACTCTCCATTCATTCCTATGGGCATAACCCTAATCCCAACATGATGACCTTAACCCCCACCCAGCCCTAACCTTAACCATAAGTAACCAAACAAAATACAGGACTTCTGGCATGTTTAGTTTCTTGATTGCAGTCACAGTTTTTTAGAAAATCGTAAGAAGTTACGCTTTTTTTTTATTATCAGAATTTGGTCCCCAAAATGGAATAATTACAAAAACACAATGACAGACAGATAGACAGACAGACAAACACACACACACACACACACACACTGCAAGGAAGGGAGGTACCAGTTTATTGGAAGTACTAGACTGTGTGGAACTGCCAGCATGCTTCCAAATAAGCCACATCTTTGGAGATGTGACACTAAAATGTGGCCCCTCCACACTGCACCTTCCCAGCTACAGAGAAGCTGCCGGATTGCTAGCAATGCTAAGTCCACACAAGTTTAAGTAGCATTTCTGATAGCTGAATATACACCATGCTTCACAACCTTCATTTATGAAAATTATTATTCTGTTTAATTCTGCTTTCCCCCCTAACAGTTCATTCATTTTACGAGCATTTTTACGAGTATTTTACGAGTATTTTACGAGTATTCCCCTTGCTGCAGACAGAAGCCGGATGGTTAGTGTCTCATCTCTGGAGCATCTCAGGCTGCCATTGCTACAGTGGTCAAGGCCAGCATTCAGCCAGCCTGCAGACACTGAGGAAGCTGCCCGGCTCATCAATCCTAAGCTCATTATAACTTACTGACTTCGAGGTGCTTTTTACAGAAGTTTTAATACGGCCATAAAACGTAATGCATAGGATAAAATACAGCCCTGTGGTCACAGAAGCATTTCATGGTTAGATTTTATAGATGATTTCACAAGAAAGCTGATTGTACCGTTTTCAAAAGCAAAATATGCACAATAACACTAGAGGGCGCTCTTGTACTAGGCAGAACTAAGCAGAAGCCATAACTGGAAGCACAGACGCAGCATAGGGGTCTAATCTAGATACGTAAAGGAAACGATTATGCAATTTGTAATTAAAATAAAATTTAGAATTACCTGCAATGCAATCAGGAATTAAATTGATGATTGCATATATTCATCATCTTGGAAGTTTTAAGTCATAAATTCACAGTTTTAATGATCTGTGATTTGTTAAAAATTGCAACCTGAGAATAACTTTAGTGCCAGAGTTGAAATCCTGAAATATCATTTACTCAGCACTGTGCTTTAACCTGAGAACTTACAAAGTCTGTGTGTGAAGGAACGAAAAGGGGGAAAAAACTTAATAAAGAGAATGTTGAAGAACTCCAACAAACCCTAAGAATTCACTTTAAGTTGCCACTTTAAGACTGATCTTGAGGAAAAGTATTTTACACCATCCCAGTGCTAAAGAATATGCCAATAAACGTGCTATTGCCATTAAATATCATTGTCATTAAAAGTATGGAATATGGCTTTGGCCCCCGCTTTCCCCACTGGGACACAGTCAATTCGGATTCTGCACAAATCCACCTTCAAGTCTGCCTGAACATCTGCATGCTCAGATTTCTGGGCCCCTGAAATCCAATAAACCTTCTGGCAGCGGACCACAGAATAAGAGTTAGACTGGTGTTTGCATTGCTCTGAGAGCAGTACCTTATGGGGGGGGCGGGGGGCACAAGGGGTCACCAAGCTTTGACACGAGTATTTAAAATGGCACGGTGTGGAAGAATATCATGGATATCACAGAGGTGAGGTGTACGTCAGCTGGCGTATGAGGCTTCTTTACTGTGCTGCTCAATTTGGGCTTTTCGAGACGCTTGTCAAAACCAAAAACCTGAAAAATGAGCTTAAGTGGAGCTTTGCACTGCGGCTCCAACAGCGTGTGCCGCTTCCCCTCCCCTGGTAGACAGGCTGCACACACCGTGGTGGTGTAGGCGGCCTCCGGGTCGTCCTCCAGCACCCGCGACAGCCCGAAGTCGGACACCTTGCACACCAGGTTGCTGTTGACCAGGATGTTGCGAGCGGCCAGGTCCCGGTGGACGTAGCCCATGTCGGAGAGGTACTTCATGCCCGAGGCGATGCCGCGCAGCATGCCCACCAGCTGGATCACCGTGAAGTGCCCGTCGTGCTTCTGCAGGAACGGAAATAACAGTGACTGGGAGGGTGGGGGGTCCAGCTGGGGCTGCATGCAGATATCGGGAAGCAGCTGGTCGAATGCCAGCAAATATGTGTCCTTTACCATCTGCAGTGAATGAAGGAATGAGCAGGGGATGAAAAATACACCAAGACAGCCTGACATCATTAAGCTACTGTTGTATGAACAAACTTAGAGAGATAGATAGATAGATAGATAGATAGATGGATGGATGGATGGATGGATGGATGGATGGATGGAGTTTGGGGGGGTGCCCCCCCAGTTGTCTAAGTCGAAATTAATTGGCAAGGTGAACAATCCATTGCCAAAACCAGCATGACACTATGCTCCATGCTGGCACTTTGCATTAGCGGCTCGTTGGCACCCTATAGGTAAACAAAACCATGGGTTGCGTGTACATCAGATACACGCATCAGAGACACGCATCAGATACACGCATCAGATACACGCATTAACACATGCAGTGGGTTTTTGTCCCCTCAAGTACAAACATGAAGTTCCGCCTATGGATAGATATTTAAATTTTCTTTTGTTTTGAAGGCTGTATATCATTTTCTTTAAGGCCCATATATACACATAAAATTCAGAGCTCAAAGGAAACAAACTCATCATGTCAATAAAATATTTATAAATTAACATTTCTTTATATTGAATAAGAGTATAAATTTTCAGATAAAACAACATGCTGCACATGCACAAGGAAAAAATGTCAGTCATTCCCATCTTAATCAAGGCAAAATACCAGAAAATACCAGACTTTTTAAAGATACAGATTTCTGAGGTATTGTATACAGCTGCAACATCAGTCAAAGTGAGATTTTGCAGGCATGTTACATGCCTATATGGTTAAGGTGGCTCTCCTATACGGTTAAGGTGGCTCTCCTATACGGTTAAGGTGGCTCTCCAATCCGGTTAATGTGGCTCTTTTTATCCATACAGGATATCAACTGTAATTAAAATGGCTGAAAGTTCACAGAATCTGCTCAGCAGAAAAGTGAGAATAAGATTTTTTTTTCTTTTTTCTCTTGGTTTAACAAGTGCTGCCAAATGAAGTGACAGCTCATGGAAACAGGTGTGAAACGCTGTGTTGGGGGGATCCTCAAACGGCACGCCCCTTACAGGGCAGGAGTTAATAAGGCCACCGGCAGCAGCACTCACACACTTATTACTATTAATTTATTTTATTTACTTAGCAGATGCTTTCATCCAAAGCGACACAGAACTGAAAGCAGGTCAGCCATTCCCTGGAGAAATTGGGGTTAAGGGCCTCACTCGGGGGCCGACTGGTAACATCACTGTGCTGACTGGGTAGGATTCCAACCAGTGACCCTCCAATCATTTTGTAATGACAGCTTCCTAACCTCTGATTAAAAACATATTTAGAAAAGCACTTCAATAGACATAATTTAAGGTGCATATGTCCTTTTCGTTAGTTTCATTCTGTTATTAAGAAAATGAAGTTTATTTATATAGAATTTCTTTTCAATGGTACTGTGCTGTACTCACCCTCAGAAAAGAGTCCAAAGATCCATTTTCCATGTATTCTACTACAATCATAACAGGTCTACCTGAAAAACATGAAGACAAGCCATTTGGCAAAGAGCAAATTATAGCAACATACATAGCGACCTTTGAAATGATTAACTCAACCACAATGCTCAATAGAGTCTGTTGTTTTTGCATATGTAGAGGAGCATAAATCACTTCAGTCGAGTCATAAGTGAATCAGGAAACTGAGTTCATATCTGGTTGATAATGTCCAATGGACATCTGGCTGAGAAGGTCCAATGGACATTTCCTTCCTTCTGAAAGCCACAGAGATTTAACAGAAGATATAAATGTAAGACTAACTCTCTTCTAACTTGCAATCTGTCTCCATGATACTTTAATGTTAGCCTAACATACACAAGAGCACAAAGAACTCACAGTGCTTGGTGCTTTAGATGAATGGTACAAATTCATGCACACATATGCCAGTGTTTTCACAGCTGGCTGTTTACTATGAAAGATTTTTAATGGTTGTTACAGTGGCAACAATTAGGCCTCTTTGAGTCAATGTCACTGACAAGCCCATTTGTCTTTAAATAAGACATTGCAGGTAAATTGCCACTGAAAGGAACAAATGTGATCATCACTCTTCCCAAAAATGTACATCAACTATGCAAATAGGACTGTTTGCAGGTTTTAAAAAATTCTCAGATGCTTGCCCAGAATCGTAAATGAAGGATTCCTTCCTATTCCCTTAACATACAGAGCAGCTAAAACAGTCATTTATAAAAGAAGTGTGATGGCTGGATGTGGTCAGCTTGATTAATTATTTTGCATGTCTAAACACGTCAATTAAAACATCTTGAAAACATTGCTAATTCATAGAGGTTTTCTGGTGAGAGTCTATTTCCTAGAGCCCTTGGAACAGGGGTCTCAAACTACTGCCTTGTGAGGCAGTTTCAAACTGCCCACGATGTTTTGATTTTACTAATTAATCTGCACCTCAAATCAATCTTTACTTTGCATTAGGGATTAAATGGTTTCACTGTAAAATTCTCGACGCTTCGTATTATCTTTTCAAATTTTAATTATCATTAAAACTGTGGTTCATTATCGCGCTTTGAAAAAGTTCTCCAGCATCAACCAAATGTAGCGACAATCACAAGTGCCCATGTGCAAGATGCAACGTGGGTTTGTTCTGTGTCAGTAAAACCATGGAAAAAGGCAGTTACAGGGATCTGGAGATTTTTCAGCCTTTTAAGAGGACTAAGTCTGATGTGATCGTAGTTTGGTTTTTAATCTTCATGACCACCATGCACTTCTTCATAGCGAATGCCAGGTAAGTTAACTTTTAACTCAATGCATGATCATAGAACTTAGGAATGGGGGGAAAATATCATGGTCTAACTTGCTAATAGTTATTCAATAATGTACACTGGAACTTTCAGTATTACCTACTCTAGTAAGAACGCCACGTTGTCAGTGGTGTAGAGAAGATGGCACTTTTTTGCTTCAGCCCCAGAGCTAGTTGAATACCCATTTGCTAAGAATGAATTCCATGTACGTTTGTGTGTGTGTGTGTATATATATATTCCTGAAACAGAACAGTTTAGACCAGTTTTCTTCTTCTTAATGGATTTTCCAGCATAACTACGATGTGATGGCATTACTAAGCAATCATCAAATGCAGCTAGAGATGCAAACAGGAACCCAAACAAGATTGTCCCATTTCTGAGTGCTACGCTCCTCCTTGCTAGAGTCCAAACAGTTCAAGCAGGTAATATGTATGTTTGGAAGCTTTGTGAGAAACTTTTCTCCACTATGAACTACAATAAACGACAATGTAGGTCCAGGTCATTCTTAGAGTGTCCACTGTCAACTCCCTCGATGCAAATGTTACTCCTCAGATGCACTGCCAGGTTTCTGGTAGTAACCAGTAAACGAAAACTGACCAAGTCACCAGAATGTCCTCAATATAATTAATCACTGTATACATTTTAATTTCTAGTTGAAATAGATGGGACACTTTTTTTGTATGTCTGTGTGATTTTTCACGTGCCCCCTTGGGGGGACACCACATAGCTAGTGGCCCCCAGGTAATTTGAGTTTTAGACCCCTGCCTTAGATGGATCCGGGTTGTTTATCTTTTCTGAAATAGCTTGCTAAAAATCAATCATCAAATGCAGTGATTCTAGTAAACTCATCTTCAGTGCCGTCTTACACCAGTCATTACAATATATTCTGCTTTAATTTTCAATCAGGGAATAAAGTCAACATGGCTATAGTTAGGCAAAATTTAATTTTCACGACTTCATCGAGTGGTTTTAGGATAAATTATGTGATATGGCTGCATAAATTGAAACCTGTGTGAGAAATGACTGCTCTCCTATAACCTAATTTATTTGGCTGGCAGAATTTACACTGTTCATTTCCAGATAAAATGGACCCATCCTCACATTCATACGAATTGCAACACATGCCAAGTGAAAGAAAGGTACAATTCCCTGCATACTATTGAGATAGTAGTGTCAAATCACCCCCCCTCCAAATGAACTCATAATTGGCTAACAGTCTGGTATTGCCCCACCCTCCAATATGCTATTCCTGTCAGCCCCGAAATACATTTCATTCAGTCAAACTGAAACATGTTAATTAAAAACAGACTGCATCCAGCTACTCTGAATTCGGCCGGAAATGGCACATGGAAAAAAAAGTAGTTTGGATATCATCTGGAAATGTGCTGGTTGTGTCTCGCAAAGTAAAAAAGAGCGAGGCACGAACGCTGCGGCGGACCATCGAGGATTCACGGCAGGCTGTTCGAAAGTAGCTACAAAAGCATCGTCATATAAAGGAACAAGCACGTAAACACGCACACACTGTAGGGCCAGCGACACATCGGGACCATCACCTGGATGCGGCAGGTAGCGGACAGCTACGCGTAATTCCTCTTCACTGCGCTCCGGCGCCATTCTCTGCTAATTAGTCTCCGAGGCAGTTGGAGAAGGAAAACAGCAGATGGTGTCCTGCTGGGTGCAGAGGCAGCCGACTGGAGCAGCGCTGCCACGGCGGCACGTGTGAGGTGGCTGCGCGCCATTCGGAGAGGTGTGTCATGTGTGAGGGATGATTCGCGTGGAGACTGCCGCGAAGGCGCGCATGCTAATGAAGCTAGCGGTCCCCGTGATGCTGAAGCTGCACCGACACCCGCTATTCGATATAACACACACGTCATGATGACCCAAATATATTCACTCATCAATATCCTTCATTTCATCCCCAGAACGGATTTTCCCATTCTCCACCATATAATCCCAGTGACCGCTACTGGGAGATTCATACAGAATGTCGCTCACTTGGAATTGTACATAACTCAGCTTCACAGGGGATGTGATTGTAGACTGGTAGTCGGAAGACGGCACAAGCCCTTCAAAAATTTACACAAGAGCCATTATTTACCAGCTCTATATGCTCTTAGAGAAGATCAGTGTTTACTATGGGCAGTCTGTAAAGAATCAATAAAAAATAATAAATTCCACAACACCAATCCAGGCAGGTCTGATTCCTGGTTGCCAGCCTGTTACAGAACACAAAAAAAACAAAAAATGTTCTTTGAGTAATGACTTCTTTTCTCCCTGTGGACGTGGGAAGGGTTTCTGTGGTTTCTGATCAGCAAGCGATCTGTGTCCGTGGGGTGGGGCTGGGAGCCACAGGGGGGCGGCGCGGAGCCAGGCCGGAAAATGAGCGAAATGCAGAAGCCGGGAAACGGCCAAGCTGCTGGGAATCCGGAGCGACTCGCGCAAATCTGGGCTCTCAGCAAAGACGGGGCAATTACCGCCTGAACTACAGGTGCCATGACGATTACCGAGGCTGAAAAGACTAATACTGCCTTTACCTCACAAGAACAAAATTTACTTTTAACCTCATCGGATAAGACACAAAAGTGTCTGACACAAAAATGCAGTAAATGTCTTTTAAACAGTTCCTATTTTTACATTATAATAAGTTTGCCTGCTTCCTTTAGGAAGTCATTGATTAGGCACATTAATTAAACATTACTGTTGCTTCTTGACAATGTATCTCAAGATGATGCATCTTCACCGCCTGCTTTTCCACATCTAAACAGAGAGGGAGGGGGGGGCGCCATCTCCACTCCAGGATGAGGATTCTCACGCGGTCAAGGTGACGATCATTTGCTCCCGCGCTGATGGGAGTAATCTCTGAAACATTACCTTCTGAGAGATTTCCAGACCATTGCTGTCAGGGGTGTTGTGTGGACTGCAAATCATGGCTTGTGTGGACCACAGAAGCCAAAACAAGCAGAATATGATCATCACGTCCATTTCTGTAACCATTGTCATTACAGACTTTGTACTGCAATCACTGCTGCTTTTCTGGTGTTAGCAGAAGCATGAGGGGTTTTGGACATGCGCCCATAAATGCATATGTAGGCTCTTCTACCTCCTGGCTCAGCAGGCCTCTGAGACATGCTGAGAGCGCCCTCGTGTGGTTCCTGCTTGAGGCTGTGCTGCAGCAGGCCTGTGTCCCCTGAGTCAGAGGTGTATTCCTCTCCCACGCCGTCAGTCTGTCACCTTTACTTAATACATACTAACGGGGCGCGGTGCCGTCTGCCTCCACATGGCAGGCGTATTCAGATAAAAAGCTAGCTCTCCATTCTAGCTACATTTCATCAATTTGATCCATTATTACCATTGTTGTACTTACTTTTAGTGACCACTCCCTCCAGCCGGATGATATTGGGATGGTCAAACTGGCCCATGATGCTGGCCTCCCGCAGGAAGTCCCGCCTCTGCTGGTCCATGTAGCCGCCCTTCAGGGTCTTGATGGCCACGGCGATGTCCTTCTTTCCTGGCGTGCGGAGGCGCCCGCTGCAGACCTCTCCGAACTCACCTGCGGAAACCGGCTCCTTCGCTCATGCCACCCATCACGCCGAACTGCTACTGAGCTCGGGCAGAGCTTTACTGGCTGCACTACTGAAGATTTTCCACTAGGTGGCAATCATGGATTATTCGAAAAGTAACAGTTTGCATGGAGTAATATTAACTTTCAGGGCTTCGAGTAAGTGAAAACTCACAGACGTCATTCTTTATTAAAAATAAATCATATATGCTAAAAGTTGACTTTTATAAGCATTTTTAGTCATAGGAATTAAAGAAATTTTAAAAGTAATTATGCAATTAATAAAGGTATGAATAAATTATACCTATAGTAAATTTTGACTCACGAAATATATTTGAAACCACAGAGCTAAAGTAATCAATAACTCCAAATAAAAGCACCCACCTGCTCCGATTACTCTCTCAATCCGAATGCGGGTGGGATCAATCTCTTTGGCAAACTCATGGACAGCCTGTGTGGGGTCCTCGTAGGTGTCTGGGTCTATGTACGTCTTTATGCCTGGAAAGGGGACTGGGCCGGGCAAACAGGGAGGAGAACTCAGACATGGCAGAGGCAGAGGATGTACTGTGCAGATACAAACAGGATTCAGGCTGTACAAGGGATCCACGATCCTGCTGCTGGCTGCTTTGAGTGCTCTGTTCTCACATTCAGTCGAAAAAGCAAGCATCCAAACGGTGACCTCCAAACGACCTCTGTGCTTGGAAACACAATTCTGGAAAAGGCATCAATATGCAGTTCTGTCTTGATCTATTCTGTCAAACCACCAAAGCCAGTTCTGAAAGCCAGACAGGCTTTCTGTTTGCACAGGACCTGTACACAGAAACAGGAAAGCTGGCGCCATGCGCTGAATGGTTAATGGGGGCTGGGTGGGACCACAGACAGAGGAGAGTAAGTAGCCTTAACACAACTAGTATGCTTTCAAACATGTCTGATTATTTAAGAGTGCAGCGTTTCTGTCTGTGCACCTGCAGGCAATACTCCTTCTTAAAAGGCTCTGGCAGGCCAGCGACGTAACTCAGCCGTGAAAGGGGATCAAAGAAGACCCTAAAACAAAGAGCCTATTTATGCCTCCTGCATCCCACTTGCTGTTTCACCATCCTGCCTGTGTTAATGCACCCCTCCATTTTTTATATCAATCTTTCATCACAGGAGTAAGTTATTCCAGGGAGGTGGATACGGAGACAAGAAAAGAGACAGGCTCTGTCTTTTTTTCAAATGAAGAGCTCAAGATTTTCAGCACAGAGTGATGGAAAGGACAGGCAGAGCTTCAAAACAATGACAGGAAGAGGCCTGAGGGTGTAACGATGACACAAAGTATATGAGGTGCATGCAGGTGGCAATTAGTCACACGCCACAGCTTTGCTTGTTTGAACATAACATCTTAGAAGGCAGAGCAGCCCTTCATACCACCTGTGGTTTTCCTGTTCTGCCTCCACCCAAAACAATAACCACTCTGCTTTTCTAACCCGAACTGCAATGATGTGGCACAATCCAAACCCAAAAGTAATGGCACCTTATCACTAACAGACACATTAACACGCGTTACGGATTAACACACATGTAAAGATGCCCTACAGATGACTTTAAATCTAAACGATTGAAACAGCTTACTGTTTCATCTACTAAGATTTATGATGATACATTTTTCTTAATGAATTGAGGTTAACTAGTTTGCCCAGGGGTACAATAAATGAAAACCAACTTGATATGTAAAACAAAACATGGTTGATTGTTTAGATTATAAAACATTAACGCAAACATGAGCTGCAGACTTACTGTGTCCGTTCTGATAGTGCGCTCTGCGCTTCTCGTCAGGTCTCATCTTGGCTTTGATGTACCACTGACACCTAGAACCAGAGCAAGAACACAACTATCAGATGCAGAATGAATCCTAAGCCGCCCGGAGGGAGGGGGATGAGAACACACGGGCCTGATGCGGGGTTCTGTGTTCCTGCACCTCCCTCCAGCTGGACTGCAGCTCTGAAGTGAAGAACCAATGACATGTTTTGAAACAAAGCCTTCGATGCAGCTCACTGGTCCATCCTTCGTGGTCAGTGAGGAGCTGCATGTAAAAACATCCAGTCCATCTTCTGTGCTGCATTAGTACATTTTTAAAAATGTAAAAAAATAAATAAATCATAATCGTTTGACAGGACACATATGACAGGTGTTGCAGCGATTACTGTGTTACACTTCCAACCTCTGCCTTGTGCAAAAATGCTAATGTGCCACAACGGCTGACACTACGATGAGGTGACAGTCCTGAGGATTAGAGGAGAGGGAACAGGTATGGATAAACTTTCAGCGAGTTTCCAGCGTTTTTCTGTATGATCACACTTCAATCACCGTGGTGTCCTGGTAGACGATTCCGACTGGAATCTTGTGACCCTCTACTTGTGGCTTTACTTATCTTTTATGGAATGTTGTAGAATACCTTTCTGAGTGCACCAGGTCTCTCATATTGTCGGCTGTAGGAGTGATGCCGTACAGAGTGCCAGCACCTAAACATCAACAGGTCCTCCTGAGGTGACCAGGCATCCAAATATCTGAGTGTCCTTCTAACCAAACCCATGTCAGGAGTACAACAGAAATGCTGGCAAGAAAGTCACACGGCTTTAAATTCACACAGTGCTGCATGTAGGTATCGAGCAGGGGCGGGGGGGCATCTCACTGAAATCCTGCCTACCCAAGTGCACAATAAAAGGGGAAGAGGTGTGAGGGACTGAGACAAACTCGAGAAAAGGAACATTTGCTTTCCAAAGAATGAAACTGAGACCTGACTGTGCAAATGGCTCCCGTGGGTGTTTTAGGCCATAAAGACAGAACACAGTAGGAGAAAAATGAAGTTTGTGGAAGAAAAAAAACTATATCAGAAACACGCCTTTCACACTTCTGGCCTGACACAAAGCATTTTTTTTTTTAAATGAGTACATTACCAGATGGCACTATTCAATAAACTGAATTCAATAAACTCAAAGCACTAACTGTAATATTTAAACAAAGCATAAATTATGAATTGTAACTCATACTGGGTAACTTTTAACTTAAAGCCAAGGCACCATTTTACAGCACCTACAGTATATTCCCCTTGAAAGGTCATAAGCTGTCAAAACAGACCAGCACTAACCTGGGTGTGAGACTGATGGGGGGGGGGGCAGGTGCAAGACACTTAATTAACAAGAAAATTACAAGGAAGAGCTCTAATCACGGTGGGGAACCTGGATCCAGTATGAAGCTCCGGAGCCCTAACGGGCTCTACGTCTGGGAGAAAATGCCGCTGTCACTTCCTCTCCGTCTCTGCCTCCCTCTCCGCGCAGACGCTGCCAAGGGCCTGGCGGGGGCCATAGCCGGCCGGTTTTATTAGCCACCAGCCGCGGGCAATTGGGGTTGCCGTGTGGTGATCCCCGGGAATGCCATCTGTTTGCCAGGCATGGCTCCGACACCCCTGAGGACACGCTGTTACACTGGGGTTGCGGATGAGGTTGTGAGACGATGAATCCCCAGGAGGATGAGAGGTGTTCACGGAGTGCACAGGGTACCTGACGATGAAGCTCCTGGCTGACAGAAGAAGGAGCACACCAGAGGAGAGATGTTCTGCTACTGCATTAGAAAATAAGTCAGATGTTCCATTCAAAACGTCCATTTTTCAAGAGAGTTGTGCAGATTTTTCATGCAATAATTTTGCTGAAGGGACATCAAAGAATCTCAGGCTTCTTTACGTTTTTTTCTTTTTTCTTTCTGGGTCTTCAAGGGATCCCCAGGACTCGAATGACCTGAGGACGGCTTTCGTTTATTCACTGCTGTGAGATTTCAGACCTCAGGTGACACAGGCTGAAGGTGAGACGTTAAGCTAGCATATGTGCGGAGTGTGTGTCCATGCATGACTGAGGAAAGGTGGCTGTTTGTGTGCTGGGCTGACAGAATCATAAACAAAAAAGCTGAAGGTGAACAACGAAGAGCTGAGACTAGTTGCAAGAGCGCCGGTTTGTATATCAGAGCCACTTACATAAATGGAAAAGATTTCACAAAATCTAAGGTTGGATGGGGCTCAAGTTGAGCATCTGTAATTAGACATGGCAGAAAACTGTTTGGATTGGTGAGGTTGGGCTCAATTTAACCCCACAAGTATAACCTTAGCTCTGAGTACATTTATGCGTGTTAATGAGGGGGACAGTGCCAGTAAAATTTTTTAATGGTTAAAAGTCTCACTGCCCATTGGCTGTTAGTTATGGTACATAAAGGTCATATGCAAAGCTGTTGTAGGCAATTAAAATTAGTTTTAAAGAAGCATCTGGAGACTGGCACTGCAAGCAATTATGGAAGTACAGGGGTTTCAAAATGGGCTGCATTAGTTTATTCCTGCGTTAACTCTGTAAAGCAAATAACCTGGCTTGCATGTATTTACTTAAGTGACACATGTCCAAAGCACAACACAAACGATCAGGGTCAGAGAGCAGGTGGGCATAAGGTCCTCACTCAAGGGTCCAAAAGTGATAAGATTACTCAGCTTGTTGCGGGATTTGAACCAACAACCTTTGCTAGTGCAGGCATATAGCCGTAATCGACTGAACTACACAATGCCTGCCATTCAAACGCTAAAGAGCTAGCACATAACCTCACACAGTGATCACGTGGGTCAAAATTCCATTTATTAATGAATTAGTCAATCATTTATTAATGAATATTAGTTCAGATTGACAAAATTTATATGTGCTTTTCTAAGGACAGAAGTATTTTTTAATAACTTAATTATTTGTATTTTCTTTTTGCAACTAGAGTTAGGCAAATATATGCAGCTTCAGTAAAAATCGTCTTCACACAAGATACAAAAGATGATTTTAAGCCTTGTGTTCTTCTGGTTTGTGGGAAAAGCTATTTCTCTGAAACTGCTGGACCAAATCACTAACGACCAACACAAATGTATGGTCTAAACCTGCATACTCAGCATAGACTATTAGGGAAGCTGGAGTAAACCTTTAGGTGAACTAGATGCCAAAAGGAGAACAGAAAAGAAAACAGAAGACAAGGCTGTTACAGGGGAATGAAGTCTGGCAGGAAGTATTGATAGGGTAGGAGGACAATCCTGCTGCTGAAGGAGGACACTGGTGAGGTAGGAGGAGGACACTCCTACTACATGAGGAGAATGTTGGTGAGATAGGAGAAGGACACTCCTGTTACATGTGGAGGACGTTTGTGGGGGAGGAGGACGACACTCCTGTTACATGAGGAGGACGTTTGTGGGGGAGGAGGAGAACACTCCTGATAAATGAGGAGGACATTTGTGGGGGAGGAGGACGACACTCCTGTTATATGAGGAGGATGTTTGTGGGGTAGGAGGAGGACACTCATGTTATATGACAAAAACTTTTGTGTGGTAGGAGGAGGACACTCCTGCTGCTGAAGGAGGAAATTTGTGCGATAAAAGGAGGCCACTACTGTTATATAAGGAGGACATTGGTGTGGTAGTAGGAGGACACTGCTGTTACATGAGGAGGACGTTTGTGGGGGAGGAGGAGGACCCTCCTGCTGTTGGAGGAGGACACTGGTGTGGAAGGAGGAGGGCACTCCTGCAAGAGGAGGTGGACATGGTTGGCCTCTTGGTTGCGCAAACAGTAACACCTTTTGGTTCAATCCAATATTATTTAACCCAAAATTATTATTATTACCCCTACATGGAATTTCTTTGGGCCATTTAAAGCACAAATATATTTGAAAATCAAGTGAAGAGCAGAAGCTGGGGTGGGTTACAGGCTCAGCACCACTCTTTATTGGATCCGTGGTCACAAGCTATGGCAGGATGGGTTCATTCCTGTTGAGCTGCATGGTTACAAAGACACAGGAGTCTGTACAAACATCAGTGGCTGTGTGCTGAATGCGACCTTGGGCTCCAGTTATGGTTGAAGGCAGATGCTTCATGTGTAAGTCCAGAAAAGGATGCTACAGTTGCTCAGACAAGAACAACACTTTAGAAAAGAGCTAGCATTTGACTGATATTAAGTTCATTTGAAATGAAATTAAAGTGACGGCTGTTACAACAATAAGAGGGGTCACAGTAATCAAAAGGGTAATTATAGTGCTGAGCCATCATTTCTGTCAAGTGTAATTTGTGTCAAGCTCCTTCCTTTAAACGGGATACCAAACAAATCAGGAAGTCTAATTTAACATCCGATACCTTAAATAATCTTCCCACTAGTACGGAGGTGTTTATATGAAAACACAAAGGCTTGCTATGAAACACGAGACAAATGGCTGAAAGCCACAGCAAAAGGATGGACCCTGAATGTCCTTTTATTTAGGAGGGAGTGGAATTGCACCAGCCACATTAGCTGTGCCGCCGTTGGCAGCCATTGATGGGATCAATGTGTCAGCGGGAGATGAGCTCAGCCGGCCTTTGTGCTCCTGTCACTCCCGCGTTGTCCTTGAAAATAACGCCCGACGTAAACAGACCTGCTAATACCCTCTGCGTTCTGATGAGATATTATTGACCACTACGGAAAGAGAGCAGCTAATCCAGTGACTGGACGTTTGTTTAACAGTCACGGAAATCTCTCTGTGTAGGTGAATGAATGTAAATATAAAGCTCCGGCCACTGAAGGCAACGTAATAGACCTTAATCTTACTGAAAAGACAAGGTGGGGAATGTGGTGCATATCCTGAATTATAATGTACTGTTTACTCGTCCACCCAAAAATGGCCACATATTACTATTATATGTGTCATATAGAATATGTAAATCATGTATATCCAATATATTTATGCAACTTCTTTGTGGGAGGCACCATTCTTCCAGAAGAAATTCCATTATGGTGGAAGAAAATACAACACCATTCCAGAATATTCCATACATGATCAAATGGTTTGAGATCTGGCGACTAGGATGACCGAGGAATGTGGTTCATGCTCATAAAACCCATTAATGCCCTGTCAACGGGGAAATTATATTCCCAGCAGAAAGGCACCCCCCCCCCCAGATGTAGGAGATCTCTCAGAAACAGCTTCATATTTAACTGCATCCCCCCCCCCAACATGTCAAGTGAACTGAAACATACCAAATACCCAGGAACCTGGACCTATCCAATGTTCAGATAAATGACCCTAAGTGTGACAAATTGTTTGGGCAACTCATGAATCACACCTATGCGGAAGCTACTGCTTTAGTTGTACTGTGCATTTTTCATTTACCTTTTGTTCCTGTTAATTTATTTACAGTGAATTTCTTAAGCTCTATGTAATTGCGTCAAAGCAGTTGATTACATACACATGTAGGGCACACCACATATGGTGACATACCATAGTACACAACTCTATGGGCATATTGGCACATGAACTAAAAAAAGTAATAATGGAAGATTAATTGTGCTGTTTCATCTACACTTAAACTGTGAGTGGGAGAGTCTGCAACAGCACGCTGTCAAACAGGCTCTGAAGATTGGTCTGTGGTGCTAAATTCATACCACTTGCCTTAATGGCACCGTCCACGATGCTGAAACTGGCCACACTTACATAGCAGTTGAAAAATGTCCCTTTTTTCCTCACGTCTAAATATAATAGACTTAACAGGCCCTGTAAATAACACTTAATGAGCTAGAAGCGCTCACAAAATCCTCCTCAGCGTGTACACAATTAGCTTTAGCGCCTTGCAAACACGTGACGTTGCGGCAGAGATACCACAGAGTTGCGCATTCGCACGAACCACCAAAACACCTCAGTCCTGTGGTAGCCTGAATTCGTCGTGCATTGGCACAGTGATGGATGATGGAATCAAAAGGTTTGGATGCTGGGAGTTCACACGTCATGTTTAACTGGCTATAGAACTTCCTCAGCCTGTCAGAATGTTGTCTATCACACCATCACGGTGTGTTTCTCTCGAAGAGACATCTTTAAAATTTAATTAAATATAAAGATTAGTGTGATAATCATGGTAAAAATTGCTATATTGTAGGATAACAGTCCACCGGATCAACTCCTGATTTGGGGTCACATGCAAATAGACCAAACCAATTACCCCCATAAAAATGAGTCTGTAAAGACCAAACACACCGTGAAATTCTCTTCCCAGATAAGCACTCTTTGTGCAAAAGCCAAACAGGACATTCATCCAACCAGCAGGATAAATGATATTCATTGTGTTTTGTCAAACTACTTCCTGTACTTTTCCAACACTTTTCACTGTACTATTGACAATTTGCAGATGCCATAAAGGCTCCTCACCCCCCATAGGATCAGCCAATCCCTGGAGCAATTGGGGTTAAGGCCCCTGCTGGAGGGTTTCAACCCCTAGAGCTGCCCCCCCCCAACAAATTATTTCATTTTAGTTTAATAAATTTTTGGTCAGTGTATAATTTAATATATGTGCAAATTGACAATAATACAGTAAGTTTAATATATAATTATTAGAAAATAGTACTGTACAAATAAACTTTCTATGGGTAGATGGAACTTTTGACTGCCACTATATGTATGTGTGTGTGTGTATATATATATACACACACATACATATAGTGGCAGTCAAAAGTTCCGTCTACCCATAGAAAGTTTATATATATATACACACACACATACACACACACACAGTGATTGACGTAACTGGTACGCAAGTACGCATTCACCTTTAAAAACGATACGTGCGGCAATCGATTGTTGTAATAGCGTGAATACGTATGTATTGTATGTGCATTTTAACCTTTATGTTCTAATTCGTACTTCATTTGCGGTATTCTGTATAGGTTAAAATGCACGTTAATTTGCGCTGTTACATTAATCGATTGCCGCACGTATCGCTTTTAAAGATGGATGCGTACTTGCGTACCAGTTATGTCAATCCCAGTATATATACTGTATAGGGCGTCAGAAGCATTTTGAATGTGGGGGGTGGACACACTGGCGGGGGGTCTGGGGACCCTCCCCCAGAATATTTTTTTTAATGAATTAGATGCCGTATGTGTATTCTCATATCGATCAAGTGGAATGGATTCTTTAGCGAAACAATAGAAACAGCGGCTGGGTGAACTAACATTTTATGTTAAACGTGGGGAGGTCCAAACGAATAATTATGAAATGTGAGGGGGACACGTATACTGTATATATATCGTGATATATATATAAAATGTTCCACACACAGCCACTTGTCCTTTTCACTGTGACTGTTTATGCATTTTTACGTGTTACCAACACTTAGTTGTCTTGTCTATGTCTGCCATGTCTATAAGAATCTATGAACACATTCAAAATACATTATAATGCATTTATAAAGCATTATAACCATGGCTATGTTTATTTTTTAAAAGACGTACATTATACCCATGATCATTATGCATTATGAAAGCTTTATGAAATCTCATCTATAATTTACTTTAGATGACTTCATAATGCAGTTGAAGCATTCTTAATTCTTATACCGACCATTATAATGCATTATAAAGGTATCTATGCATTAGGCCTATATACTGTATAATCGCTTTAAAAAAGATGTTACCGAACATTTAATATCAATGATTATAGTGATCACATTTTTTTTCAGATCGCATTTTCGGTATTATTACAGTATTGTTAAAATATGCTGAAATAGTTCAAAATTAACGTACTGATACACAAACAAATAATTGCACCAAGTTTTATATTGAAAACCACAAATAAAATTAGCAGCACTATGCATCTTTTGTTTGCACAAATATTACAGTAAAAACATCCATCCATCCATCCATTATCCAACCCGCTTATCCTACTGGGTCGCGGGGGGTCCGGAGCCTATCCCAGAAGCAATGGGCACGAGGCAGGGAACATCCCAGGATGGGGCACCAACCCATTGCAGGGCACATCATCCCTGATTTGTATGTGCAAAGAAACTTTTTTAATGACAAAGGGCTGAAGGTCATCTCTGCCTGACACCCAGTATATATAAGGCTTATAAACCATTCAGCCTTATCTGAATAGCACTGTAACTTCTGTCTTTGTGCGGTTTGGTGGACAGAGGAACACACAGACCTCAAAACAGCAGGAAAGATTGCAAGGGGCTCCTTACCTTCCGGTGATGAGGAAGAAGAGGGTCAGGATGACGAGCAGGGTGAAGCTACCCACTGCTGCCGTGACGATGACCAGCACCTGACCCTGATCGGCAGCCATGTTGGAAGCTGAGAGGAGATGCAGACGCGGTCAATCAGGACAGCAAGTGGGCTGAACATAGGGGCCACACAGCAGAGAAGAATGCAGCTGGCACTCAATAATGGCAAGAAAAAATACATGGTATAAAATTAAGCGAATCACATGAAGGAGTATCAGTTTACAAAAGCAAAAATCACTGAAAAACTAAACATAGTGGATTTCTTGGGTTCATTGTTAATTATTGCAAAACAAAGAGAGATAAATTTCCACTAAAGAGAAAATCCCTCACTTCATCATGGTGCCAAGGTTGGTTGTGTTTTTTATTGAAAAAAGATAGAGAACATTATTCAGAAAAGCATTATCTGAGAAATTACAGAAAATATTTAGGGCTTTTTGCAATAATCGTTATAATAGTTTTGCGTTATTAAAGTGGTTTTATTCATCGCATAAAATTGTAATTTACTCATGATGGTCCAGCTTAATTGGGCCAATTTGATATTCATGATTTGCTGTCTTTTAATGTCTCAAGCCCACTTAAGCACCGATAATTAGAACGCAATATTATTACTAGCCTTTTATATTCATAGGTAATGAATATCAATTTGAAATACAAATGCAGGATTGAATCAAAGATGAATGTTCTGAATTTTAATGCCTTTTCTGACATGAAATATCACGTATATGTTGTAAAGATGGATTGAGGTAATTACTGATCTCTCTCCAATGAAGAGAAGATGTGGAAGATTTTAACAGAAGATTACAACACAGGAACTTTAACCTGTACTGCAACTTACACGGCTTTTAAAGGTGTTAATTAACAAGTCTTGTCAGGTTTGGCTGAGCCATCACCCGGCTGCTGTTTCTATCGCTAAGATGATAAAGGTTTTTAAGATGCAAAAAAGGCTGGGAAAAGACCGAAAGCATGATAACTATTCAGAGGGCAGTGAGCCATCACAGACTTTAAGGGGCTCTGGACGTCTTCCTGGGTGAGATGTGCACTTCGCCTACTTAGTGAAAACGTCAGTGCATGTGGGGACAAAAAACACAACACAGCTTCCAATGAGGGCAAATCATTCAAAGGCAAACGTTAGATGGATCATACTACTGATCGCTCTGTGAATAAATAACACAGATTTACCTCTTTGAATGAAACAGCAGGGTTCATAACAAACACATTATGAAGGACTCTTAAGTGTTGTTCAGTGGCAGTGATATTTTAGCTGTACTTTGCAAAGGCAGGACATTCGTGGGGGAGCTCAGTGCTGGGCAGTAAGCAGTTAAGCTCAGATACACAGAGCTGGTCAGCAGGCTGAAGGGCCGGTAGCTACAGTTCAGGTGTCCGGATGACGATGTGTGGGGGACTTACTGTCCTCTCCTGTTTCGTACTCGAACTTGGGGCTGTAGGTGGTATAGCCGGCCGTGGTGCGGGCGCGAATGAGAAAAACGTAGTTGGTCGAGGGCTTGAGGCCAGTGATGATGACGCTGGGAGCCTTGGAGCGTGTGGAGGAGTAGCTCAACTGTTCGTTCTCCTGCAGGATGTACCGGAGCAGAGCACAAACACTCTGAATACACGAGGGGGTGGGGGCTCCTTCTCACACTCACACAGGCACCCACTCAGCACACGACTCTCTGAGACGCTACAGCCAGAAGGAGTTCATATTTCACACCTGGGAAGAATATTTGTCAAGAAATTCAGGCAGGAGCTCATGAAGCTCTAGCAGGTAATTTAACTGGCCAATGACACAAGACTCCCAGGTGATGCGATGCAGCGGCGTGCACTGCGACTCTTACCTTCTCATAGTACTTGATCTCGTAATCCAGCACAGCTAACGGGGGCTGTTCCAGCTCCTGCCAGGAGAGGGCGATGCTGTTCTGAGAAGCCCAGTCCTTCTTGACTGTCCCTATCAGCGAGGGTCCTGCAAGGCACAGCACGGATCAGCACAGGGTCAGGCTACGGGGGAAGGCCCCCCAGCCGGCTGCTCTCACACCAGCAGCAGCTCTCATTAGCAGTGAGGAGAGCGAGTGGTGCACTGCACTCTGAGCCTGGGAAAGCAGGAAAGTGGCCTTTTAACAAGGGTCACAGATGCCAAGTGCTTTCCTGGAGAAGAAGCCCAGCCAGGTTGTCCTTAGAGCTCCCCACTCTGCAGGAAACATGCTTGTCAGAGGTACCTGTAAACACTCCCACATCTGGGGTACCCAACGGGGGGACTCCATCTGACTGGCAATGCAGGGCCAGGCAGCGATAACTGTCCAAACTGAATCATTCCTCCTGTCCGTCTTTCTTGGTCTATGTGTTTTATTGTCGTCTCCACAGTGAAGCCAAACCAAAGCCCCAAACAAAGGTAACGTGCAGCGTATTTCCCCTCCGCTCCACCCCATCTCACCCCCTTGTCCATTCCTGAAAAATCGAGGCCATAATTCTAATACTTACTGGGGGCGACACGTTGTCCACAATATTCAGATGTGCTCACAATGTCCCCCCTCCCAATATATACAGTGGTACCTCGGTTCTCGAACTTAATCCGTTCCGGACTCCGGATCGAATCCTAAAAAGTTCGAGTTCTGATCAAATTTTTCCCATAAGAAATAATGGAAAACCAATTAATTGGTTCCCGGCCCCCCAAAATTACACCTAAGTATGTTTTTTTTTTTATCATTTAAACAGAAAATGAACAGGATAAAACAAGAAGAGCATTTTTTTTCTTAATGGCTTCCAAAACGATAAAGATCTTATCCCAACATTACCCCTGTCCTGCCCCGATCGTCCGCTCCTTCCGTGTGCCACGCCCCCTCGTTAACCTCGTGTGGGATCCCCATGTGATCAGCTGTTTCTGGTTGTTGTCATTAGTCCTCTGTATTAAGTCCGCGTTTCAGTTTCCCCAGTCCGGTCATTGGGTGCGTTCGACTTGCTTACAGCGCTGGCTTAAAGCAACGCATTCTGATCCTGACGCAATGCATTACGGTTAGATGCATTGCGACATCTCACTCGGCTGCACAAACTGGAACCGCCTCCGTGACGACACACCTTTGCCTTTATTGGCTGAAGAGTTTAGTTACACGCATGACGTTTGTATCCCAGGCAGTTCCGAGGCGGTATCTGCTATTTCTCCTGAATATCATGTAAAGCAGTGAGAACTGGTTTTCAGTTAATTTACCTGGTAAAATAAAGTTTAAATAAATGACATAAATGCTCTAATAGTACACGTAAGTTAGTGGTTTATTTATTGTTAGTTACTGTAATGTTGCGCTGCTTTATTTGGTTAATCGTCCAGTCTGTGAAGAAGGCATTCAAGTAAGAATTGCATTGTAGTATGACTCATTTCCTGGCGCGTACAATTTATATTAGGTCAGCGTTCACGGTTCGACTTTTGCTATTCAGATCGAGTTCTAGGTCAAACTGGTTTGTTCGACTTTCAAGAAATTCGAGTTCTAATGAGTTTGAGAACCGAGGAACCACTGTATTATAATTACGGCCTTGGTCCCCCCCCCCCCAGGTGTTTACTCCATGGCTACGGCCTTGAGCAAAACATATAAGTAGACATCCGGTCACATTTAAATTCATTGTGGTAGGTAGCTGTTCAACAATCTTTCACAGATTTATGTCTAAGAAAACTTGACTAAACATTTTTATGCATTTCAGTTAGCAACTTAAACCATTCCTAATAAAAATGTTCTTTCCAATACAGCTTTATTTCTTACATAGACAATGAACTAGGAATAAATGTGAACTGGGAAATAATAAGACTTTAAAAAGGAGGATTTTATTTTCTTTAGCCTATTTAAAGATTTTTTCCCACAGAAATAGAAATTGCCCATATACTTAAACTTCAATTATAAACATAATAAACCTGTTATGTTGTTTAAAAACCCATTTTTAGGATGCATTCACCGCTATGAATAATAATATTTAGCTTTAAGAAAGCTTCTGAGATTAGACTTGTATAGACACTTTACAAGCATGGAACCTTTAAATTTTTTAAACACCTGGTGACATCGGAATCTTTTTTTTCATTTTATAATAACAAAATTCTGCACCGACCTTGGATTCCCAGTTATTATTCATAGCAAAGAGGTGGCAAATGTTTAACTTGGGAGATTAAATTTGTATAAATCACATTAGCAGCACTGATTGAATTTCTGTTAGGTAAATATCCACCCCACGTACACTACAGTAGCCACTAGGTGATAACGTCTGCTTGGGTAATTAATATCCCATTAGGTGTATAATTGCAGGTATTAGGCAGGGACTGTTCAATGGGCATTATAAATTCAGAGATTTTTAGAGAATGTCACACAGAAGCAACGCTGCTTTTTCATTGTCAAAACTCCAGGTCCTTCCGTCCCGTCGAGAAGCCCCATATTCATGGCTCTCTGAGCAGCCTGATTCCTAAATCAATAGGAGAGTAACAAATTACAAAATAAGCTATGCACACAGCGCATGCCGTGTATTTAAAGTATGTATGAGATCCAAGATAAATTAGGTTTTAAAATCTTTAAAATCTTAAGATGCTCGGTACGACAGAAAAAAGGCAATGTGCATATTTTTCCTCAGTCATCTCTCTCTTTCCCATGCAAAGGAGCGTCCCAGTGAGGCTGCAGCCTGTGATGCTCTCAAGCCCCCTCACACTACGGTGAGACGGCCGACGGCCTGCCGCAGACCCCCCCAGCCTTCCACGCGTCTGCCCAGAGACGGGCTCTCAGCCGGGGCCAGCTGACGGCCTGCTGCAGACAGACGTGGGCGGCCCCCGGGCCCCCAGTGACCTACAGCTTAGCTGTTGCAGCGTTACAGCCGGACTGATGTTTAAAGGGTATTGGGGGCCCCCGGCTTCATCTCCACGGGTAAACAATCATCATTTGCTCTGACTCATACAGAGAGAATAACACATTCATTTACATTACAGCACATAATCAATGTATAAACAAAAATGTGAACATGCTTACAGTGCTGTATACTAGTCTCACTGCAAGGTTATTTATTGGGGGGGGGGGGGGAGTGTAATTCGGTCTCAAATTTTACTGTGACGTTTTATCAGCTTTTGAAAATGATTCATGAAATATGGTTAAATAAAAGATTTACTTTATCGGGCATAAAGTTACATTGGTGGATCTTCAGGGTGGGGTCGGAATTCTGTAATGAAATTGCAACTGCAGAAAGCACTGCATATTTTGGGCTGTAAGCATCCACAAATAGCCGCATATTATCAAACATCCCCGGCAGACGGCCAAGTGCTTACTTTTCCAATAATTGTGTACAGTGAAAATATTTTTTGCCCTTTGAAGAACTAGAGATTTTGGGCTGCTGGGGAACATATTGACTGCAGGTGGGCCGAACTGACCACCGCGAAGCTGGCGGGGGAGAGACAGAGAGATAGTGTGTTTAGCGCATCTGTGTGTTTTGGAGGTAAGCAGGGGCGTTGTTAGGACTGGGAAATGTTCTATATCCCCCCCCCCCCAAAATATATGCACACTAATTAGTTTAAACAGTGTGCTCTCATTCATTTCCATCAAAATCGCCGCCCCCACCCCTGGTAAAGGCTTATACACCCTTTCCATAAATATCCAGGTGGGCGCAGGGCTTTTGAATCTCCATTTGGGACCATCAGGCAGTTAGTAGAACCTTCGCTTCATCTTCTTAAACATACAAATATGTTCCAGAAAGAGAAAAACAACACATACTTTCTGCTGTATGGTCTGTGATGTACATAACTATTGGGACCCCTTGTAAAGATCTGTAAAAAGGGCTAGAAAAAAAATCCACCTTTTTGTGATGTAGCTTCATCTCACACCGAAAAAAATAAGAAAAATCCAACCCTTCTTTGAAATAAATGTATTTATTTATCATAGAAAAAGAAATCGGTCATCAAGAAATAATTATTTTTAACAAAAACGCACGTGCCACAATTATTGGCACCCCTGCAAATTATAGCGAACACAATGTAACTGAAGTATGTTTCCCATGTAAATTCTGCATCTTTGAGTTGATTGGAGTGAATAGGAACATTAAAGCTGTAAGCCATGACTTCCTGATTAACTGGGGTACAAACAGGGGTGACAGAGGCCAAATTCCCTTAGTCATCCATCAACATGGGAAAGATAAGAGAACACACAACCCAAATGAGGGAGAAGTTTGTTGAGTTAGGGAATGGGCATTAAAAAAAATAGCTACTCACCTAAAAATGCCCATTTCTACTGTTTGGGCAATAATAAGAAAGTGGACATGAACTGGAACTGTTACAAACCTGCATGGAAGTGGACCCAAGTTTATTTTGCCCCCACATACAGTGAGGAGGATCGTAAGAGAGGCAAAAAAAATCTCCAAGGATGACTATTGGTGAATTACAAGAAAAGGTAAAATCTTGAGGTTACCACGTCTCCAAACCCACCATCCGATGCCACCTTCATGCTAACAGATTATTTGGAAGGTGTGCCAGAAAGAAACCTTGTCTGTCTGTCAGTTTCCCACAAAAACGAGTTTGCGAAACGCGACTACAACTTTGACTGGAACCAAATTCAATGGTCTGATGAAACACAAATGGAACTTTTTGGCAATAAATATCCAAGGTGGGTTTGGTGTAAATGGAAGGGTGGCTGTAATGAAAAGAACCTCATCCCAAATGTAAAATATGGTGGAGGTTCTGTGATGTCGTGGGTCTGATTTTCCAAAGGCCCTGGAAACCTTGTTAGGGTACATGGCACTATGGACTGAAATTCCAGGACATTTTAAATGAAATTTGCTTGTCTCTGCCAGGAAACTAAAACTGGGCCGTCACTGGATCTTCCAGCAGGACAGTGATCCTAAGCACATGTCCAAATCAACATAAAAATGGTTAACTGACCGCAGAACCAAGCTTCTGCCATGGCCATCTCAGTCCCCTGACCTGAACCCCACTGAAAAGCTGAAGAGCAGAGTGCACAA